CAGATCAATACTTCTCTCCTCTGAGTTCAGCTCGTGGCTCCAGTACATCAGAACGCAGACGTGGCTGTGCAAACGCCGCTCTGCTCGTCCTCCACTAACATTTTGCATTTTAGATGTTTTCAAAAAGGCCTTAGTTTTAGAGGAAGTCTAAACATAGACCACCCACCAGAGGGCGCTGCAGAAAGAGTTTAATGTCCTTAATTTTACGTCTGTTTGAAAGGCTTCGATCAGTTGTTGGTTTATATTTTCGTCAGCTCATTATTACCTTTATTCTGGGTATTTCTGCTGATATTTTCCGGTGGAGCGTTGTGACTATCAGCTGGATTTACAGTATTTATATTTCGTGTTGCGTTTCCCTCGGCTCTCAGTTTCCTGTACTTTCCCCCTGAATGACCCTTTTGATTCAGAGGTAATTGATTAGTCAGAGACATGTACAGCAGGGCAATGATTCATTTTCCCCATTGAAGTCTAAAACCTCAGTGACATCACACCACGCTCCAGCCAATCTGGTCGCTGTTTATTAACCTCAAATCCCAGGAACACTCTTTATCTACAGGTTATAAAGTCAGAGTGTCTTCCTGATCTTCGTCATCGTGACTCGGCTCAGCTGCTTCATCAACAGTCCTCTAATGGGGTAAGACTCTCCTGTGTGTCTGTGTTAGAGTTAAAACAGAAACTGTTACTGGCGCCGTGTAAAACCTGATGCTTGTACCAGGCACCGAAACTTTTCCTGGGTTTGGGACGATCAGTTCAGGACTCTGTGTGAAGTTTCCTTTCCCATCTGTGGGAAACAGCAGCTTTAAATGCTGTTTTTAATGTGTTGGCTTTGAATTCTCCATTTATTACCTGTTCTGTTCTTATACCAGTGTGAATCCTCCCAGTCAGCTGTTAGGCCAATTGATCCTAATAGATCTTAAATTTTCTTAAAAGGTAGTAGAAAAAAACTCTTCCCCTCAAACCTCAAGAGTGTTGTTTAACTGTGTACATGTGACATATTTGTTAATGTAACAAGCAAGTGTAACCAGCGATTCACTGACCTGGATAAAGAAAAACAGCAACTACCTGAGGATGTGTGCGACAATAATACAGAACAATTTCTAGCAGCTCTTACAAAAGCTCCCACAGACCAGCGCGGGGGGGGTATCTGTCAGACGGTTGGTGGTTTGCTCCCCGGCAAATTAACCTGCTTTACGGTTACACAAGTAGTGCTAAAGAAAATGTTTCATGTTAACAAAATGACAATTTTTTTAAATAATTTGGAAATAATTTTTTTAATGTGTTTGAGCATTTATTCATATCTTTGTGGGGACCAAAAACTAATAATTGACTATACTTGAGGGGACCAACAGCCTAGTGGGGACCAGAATCCTGGAAGACATTTTTACACTCAAAATGTGGTTTTAGTGTCAGGGTTACAATTAGGTTATGTTTGGGGAAAGCATTACGTCACTTAGATGCCCCCACAAGATATGAATACCCGAGTGTGTGTGTGTCAGTAAGGACGTCTCCTGGTTTCATGTTTCCCTCTTACCACATATCCAAACCCACATCATGACCAGCAGCTTTACAGCTGTGGCTCCAGCAACCATCAGCTGATACTAGAAATTAAAATTAAATAAATTCTAACAACAGCTGATCAAGCTTAAACGTGCTGCTGTTGTTCAGCGTGACATCCGCTGGTTTCCTCTTTCTGGCGCAAAGTGATAAACAAACAAGAGAGACGATCAGCTGATCATTGATCAGTTTCATGACTGAAGTAGAAACAAGAGAGAGAGGGGAGAGAATGAGAGAAGAAGAGACAGCTGTGCAGCAAAGACAGAATAACTCCAGCTTTGTGTCTTTTTCATTGTAGCTGAAGTCCGGGACAAACTGTTCCTTCTCACTTCAATACAAAACGCGTAATATTTTCTCTGAATACGAGACGATTCCATTTTTTCACGGGACGGTTGGAAACTCTAATAATTAACCTTATGAATAAAATAAGATAAAACAAGTTCAACATCAGTAACATCATAGCACCGCCCAGCTGTATAGAAATGCCGTCATGCTAGCTCACGCAGTACGAGTTATTGTAACTGACTGTAAAAAGTCAGCATAACGAAAATAAACTCCACCTAAACTTGGTTTATATCTGACCCAGATAGACTGCAGGTCATAACTTCTTACCTGAAGTTCAGTTCACCACCTCGGGTCTCTGCTCCTCCTGCCTCCATCATCCACCTGCCAGCGTGTTGCATCTGCTGGCCTCCATCACGTGCTAATGTTACTGAATCTGTGGAAGCTCCACAATAGCCACCACCAAACAACTGAGTTATTTTTACACGTCTCCCAGCATCTGGCCAATCCACCAACTTTCAGTGTTTATACCAAAAAGGAAAAAAAAACAAAAAAGAAAAAAACCATCGGCCCATAAAAATGAAAAATCCCCACCGGCCCACCGGCCAGTCCAGCTATGCATGTAACCAAACTAATACCTGTGGTCACTGCTTAACTTTAACGTTGCGAAGCTGCCAATTTACCGCTCATCCCCACCCCCACCGATGGTCACAAGCTCTGGGTAGCGACCAAAGGATGAGGTCATGGATACAAATGAGTTTCCTTGGAAGAGAGTTCGGCAGAATATGGATGGATGATTTCCAATGATCCCCGTCTGAATTGTGGGATTATTTCCACTTCATCCATGTTGAGTAGTTTAAATAGACGTTGCTGAAAATCAAAAACAACAACAAACAAATAAAGAAAAAGTCAAAAAAAGTTCCTTCACGCAGAAAACTGTAAAATACTGATTAAGTGTCTGAACGTTTATCTCGGTGCAACAGTTTTCCTCGTGATGTTTTTAGGTGACTTGTTGAAGGTGCTTTCCATTTTCCACAGAGACGACTTGTAAAGCTGAAACTCAGATGATGTAAACTCAAGATCATTTTCTCCCTGTAAAGTCTTCACGCCATTTCTCTGCGCTCTCGTTTTAAAGACAGGCCTTTGTGCTGTGTCTGAGCCGCTGTGTGCTCGGCGGCTGGAGCGACGAAAAGAGGATTTTCATGCTGGCTTTGGTCGAACAGTCGTGAGCTTTGTGGAGGCTCGGCAGCTGACTGCCTCATGCTGATGTGAAGGTTGAACTCTGGAGTTGTGGAGGCGAGTCTGATCTGTGACCTCTGTTTGTTTTTTCTCAGATTTGGCGAAAGAGAAATGTCATCTCCTCCAGATCATGAGGTGAGCTAAGAGCGAACATACTTAGGCTTCGCCCGAACGTTTCTTCAGCTCCTCCACAGAAGAGGAGGACGGGATTCGATCTGTGGAAACATGAGCAACAAATGATGAAATACAGAATGAATGGGAATAAAAGAACAACGTGTGTTTGTATTGATATATAAGTATGTGAAAAAGTATTTGTGAGGTGGTGGTGGATCATTGTCCTGCTGCATAACCTGACTGAGCTTTAGCTCCAATGCCCAAATATTCCAGTATTCCCAGTTCCAGCTTTAAAAAAAACCCATTGTAGTCCTGATGAGGTGTAACGGTTTTCCTCCTCGTGTTTCAGACCAATGCCATCCTAAGAGCTTCCCATCTGCCTCTGGTTCGCTCAGCGTTACAGATGGTGACTTCGATGTACTCGGGGGTCAAAGCTCGCAACCGTCTGCTGGGTCTGATGGGAGGAATAGCCGAGGTCGGAGTTCGCAGCTTTTCCCAAGAGGCCATGAGACGAGCCACGCCCCTCCTGCAGAGTTTGGAGCCACAGAGTACGTGACAGCGCTGCTGGCACCGTTAGCTTCATCACCTAATCACAGTTTCACTGCCTCTGAATCGTGTTTGTCTTCTTCTCCACAGTCGATGTTGCCAACACTTTTGCGCTCGTTGGTCTTGATCACCTGGAGAGAAACTATCCGATCCTGAGCCAGTCAACAGACGAGGTCATTTGATACCTGCTACAGATGTGATGTTTCTGTTGTGGTCATGTCACAAACTTGTCTTTGCACCGCTGCCAGTTAAGGTAACGGTAAATTTCTGCACTAGAGTACGAGCGAGCAGCCAGGCTGTCGAAACAACAGGATCCAACGGAAACAAAGGCTGAGCTCCAAAAATACCAGCATTGTTTTAAAAGGC